GAAAAGAATATAGAGGTGTGTAACTGAATCACTTTACATCAGAAACTAACACAGCATCGTGAATCAACTGTACTTCAATTAAAAGAAGATAAGCAGAGGACCACACAAAATTGAAGAGACCCCTGAGCCTTCTCTCATTTGGGGAGAGGAGGGTGGAAGCTGCCACCACCCCACCCACAGGGAAGCGATGGCCAGCGGACAGCAGGTTGGGTCGGACGAGGGCAGCCTAGGAAGCCTCAAAGACCCATTCCTGGTCAGAGGTCACCGAGCCACTGGACCTGACAGGGACACAAGAGCCCACTTGGCCAGATGGCAGACACCCAGCTGACCGGATGTCTGTGCTGTCCCTGCCCACCCCTCCTCCAACACCACCAGAACCTACATAAAGTCCCAGAGCCACCATCCAGCCCCAAAGAAGGGCAGGAAAAGCCCCAAATTGACACTGGCCAGCAGAACAGAAGCCGTGTTGACCACGGGGAGAAGGGGAGAGCTCTCGCAGGTCTGGGTTTGTGGGCTGGGCTCATGGCCCGGGCTCTCCCGCATCCCGGCTGTCTGCCCGTCTCCCTCACATACCTGGCTCTGTAGGCGCTGGACCAAGAAGGGCCTCTGTGGTCCAATTAGTTTGAAAAACACTGGGCTAAAGAAAGCCAAAGTTTTGTTGTTTTTAACTGCAGCCCTTCTCAGCGCCTTTGCTTGTGGCTCTTCAGGAGGGGCTCAGGCAGGTTCAAAGCCTTTCTGTGTTTTTCTCAGGGACTTCTGGTGGGGGAGAGGCTCTCCTTCATTTTACGACCGAGGAAATGGAGCCCAGAGAGGTGAAGGGACTCCTCCAAGGTCACAACAGCGAGTCGGTGGACAAGGGGAGGCAGGCCCGACTCTGCTGCTCCTGGCGGCCTCTGTCAGTGCCAGGTCCCAATTCTGACAGGTTCCCGACTCGTGGGCCTGGGCCTGGGCGGTTCCATCCTGTGTCAAGGCGACCTCTTGTTCCTTCCTGGTCCAACTCTCTCAGAAATCTTAAACATCCGAGCCCTTAGCTGGGAACACATCTGGGGATGTGGTTGCTTGACACAAAGGATTCCCATCCAAAGGATTCACAGGGGAGATGTGCTCCCTGCCAGACGTGTGGTGGACAGAGCAGCCGTGGCCCCTCCAACCCGGCCGTGGGTCCTATCTGCACAGTGAGGGGCCTGGACCCTTCCCCTTCCACCTGCTTTAGCACCCACGCTTCCAGATCTGGGCCTTTGAACAAACCTTCAAAACCTGCCCTGATAAAAATTCTATAGGATAAATGATCTGGTTTCTTTGATAAAAAAATTTTAAAAACAGCAAGGGGAAACATGAGACAGAGTGGGCATGTTCTAGTTTAAAACATATAACCAAAACGATGGTGTTTGGATCCTGATTGGAACAAATCATCTGGAAAAGACATTGACAAGACAGTCGGGGAAGTCTGAATACGGGCGCTTTGGTGACACAAAGGAATCATTGTTTGCAGAAGTCGTGGCATGAGAGTTTTGGGGGGTTTTGGTTTTTAAGGAGTTTTTCTTTTTAAGGGAGACACACAGAGGTATTTACAGATCAAAAACGCGCTGTTTGCATTTGTCTCTAAAGTGATCCAGCGGGGTGTGGGTAATCCTGGAAGTGTGGACAGTGGTCGACGTCTGCAGGAGGGTCTGTTAGACACTCCTGATGTTCAAAACACGTCCTGGCCCATCTGGCTGTAGGTCCTGGGGCCAGCTTGGGGTGGGAGGGAGAGGGACTTCCTGCCTGTGAGGCCGACCCTCCAACCTTGTGGCTGCTCTCGGGAACGCAAGGCCAGACCCCCAGGGCCCCAGACCCAGGGCTCTCCACGTGCACGGGCGCGGGAGGCCCCGGGGCAGCCCGAGCTTGCCTGTCTGCTGTGGGCACCGCTTCCCCTGCGTCCCCGATGCCACGCAGAGACCCAGGCGGAGCCCCTTGCGCCCACCCCCACCTCCCCGGCTACTCACATGGCTCCTCCTGGCCCACCCAGCTCCGGCCACCTCGCCTGCTCCGGCCCAGGCCACTCATTACTCAGGACGTTTATTATTAGCCTAGATTTGATTAGTGCCCGGGCTGCACTTCCTGGGTTTCCCCCCAGCTGTAGGATGTAAATCAGCGGCTCCCCTCCCTCCGCGCTTGCGCCCTCTGTCTCGGGAGCTGAGGGGTGTGGGCCCAACCCGATGCTCCAGGAGCCCCCCACCACCACCAAGCTGTCCGCTGAGCCCCCAGGGTGCCCTGCCCACGGGGCCTGGTCTCCTGCCCCATCACACACCCCAGGCTGCATCCAGGGTGGCCTGGCCTCCAGGCATTGCTCAGGGCCCTTCCCCCTTCCTCTACAGCCCTTTCCTATTTCACTGCCCCGTCAGCTCCTCTGCTCCTTTCTTCAGGCTCCACTGAGGTGTCAGTTTCTCTGGGAAGCCATTCCTGACTGCCCGAGGCCGGGTGAGGTGCCCGTTCTCTGTGCTTCCTGAGCCCCGGCCTTACCCCCATCAGAGCACTTGAGAGGCTGAACTAGAGCCAGACAGACTGGGCTTGCGTCTCGCCTCAGCCACGTACCAGCAGGAAGCCTTGGGGGCAATTTACGTAACGTCTTGGTGTCTCTGTTTCCTCTTCTGTGAAGTGGGTATGAAGGTACAGGTGGTGATGAGAACGGGATGTGTGCTCAGTTCAGGCCTCAGAGCACTTCCCTGGCGCAGTGAGTTCTCAGGGCTCGGTGTCCAGGCGAGCACTGCTGCCGTCATCAGTGGTCACTTTATTCCCGCCTTCCCAGCCTCCGCGGGGACAGGGCTGGAGGACGGCACGTTCAGAAGTCACCGGAAGCCCGTGGAGTTTGAGGGGGACTCAGGGTGGAGGGAGAGACCAGGCGGCCCAGGAAGACGTAGGGCAGGGCTGCTGTGAGTGGTGGGTCGCGTGGCAGAGGAAATACGAATGACTGGATGACCTAAAAAGCACCCAGTCTCATCAATAATCAGAAAAGCTGGTTTTCACCCACCCGGTCGGCAAAGTCTTAAAGCGCGGTAATACCGAGAGGAGGAGATCGGGGGAAGCCTGAGCTTGGGCCCGCGGGAGGGAGCGTGTTGGTACCTCTGTGTGGAAGGGGACCTGCCAGGGCCCCGTAAGATGGAGAACCTACGCCTGATCCATGGCCCCGGAAGCTGTCCTCCAGGGGCCACAGGTGCACGAGTGTGGAGCAATGGAAACAGAGCCAGTGCCCCCCCGCAGCGATGGCGGAGCACGTGAAGCTCGAGGGCCATAACCAGGAATACTACGCAGCCGTCAGACAGAGCGAGACAGGTCTGTACGCAGTGACATGGAGAGACTGTCAAGACCGACGGTTGAGTGAAAAAAAGGAGTTTGTGGCATGGTTCTTGCAGTAAGGGGCCTTTCCGTGAGACAAAGACGGACAGGCCTCCTTGCCTACGATTGTGTGCGCACAGGTGTGGCAGAGCTATGAAAAGGATGGGCACGATGACAGTGATCCTGCTGGGTAGGGCAGGAGGGGACCAGGCTGGGGATGGGGTCCGAGGGGCTTCAGGCCTGTTTGTAACATTTTTATTTTTACACGGAGGTACATATTCCTTGTGTCAGTGAAAAGTAACAAGCCCACGGCTGGGCTGTCTGGGGATTTGTGAGCCGGGGCAACCACAGGGCAACTCTTGGAGTGGGGCAAGCCCAGCGTCCCTGTGGGATGACCTCACCGCGTCCCTCCGTCCCTTCTGCTTGCACACCCCCGGTGCCGGGGCTCTCACCGCCTCACAGAGCAGCTGGCTCCCAGGGGGTGAGCCGACTGTGCCTCGGTTTCCACAGTCACACGCGGTCTCGCCCGGTGAGGCCGCCCTTTGGAGTTTTAACACCGGCGCAGTTACCCGTGAAATGAAAAACAAACAAAATCCAGCCTGGCTTTGGGCGGCGAGAATGGAATGATGGGGTCCCCAGCGTCTCACTGCTAATCACAGCTTGTTAACGCTTTTGCTTAAACGCTGTTTACAATTAATGGATTGGATCGACTTTCTGTTTTCTTTAATTAGAGGTGTAATGTACGCACAGTAAGAGGCAGTATTCTCAGTGGGCAGGCCAGTGACGCTTACCTGTGTGCAAACCCAGGCAGCACTCCCCAGATCAAGACCTAGAGCATTTGCAGCCCCCAGAAGCAGCACACCCCACCCCACCCAGCATAACCAGTATTCTGACGTCTGTCACCACAGATGCGTTTTGGCCGTTCCTGAACAGGGAACATACAAACAAGATGGTCCACTTTTTTTCTGGCCTCTTTGCTCCAAGTTAGATTTTATGACACCAGGCAGAACAAGTTGGGGGACCTTTGGGGGTCCCTGGGGGCCTCATTTTCCCCTGCCCAAACGATGATCGTGGAGCTCAAACAGAACCGCAGCCCGTGGGACCTCTCCCCCACCGTGCCGCAGGAATTGTCCCGTGTGACCCACCGTGCTGGGCTCCCTCAGAACAGGTGCCGAGGCTTCTGAGCCTCATTCTGAAACCAGCCCTTTCTCAGCCGTCTCGCGGGAGGCTCGGGATCTAATTTTAAGTTCCACAGTCAAGGGGACAGAAGAGTTTTGAAACCTGGAGCAGAGACTCTGTTACCTCAAGGTTGGGAGCTGGCTCCGTTACATGTGTCCTTAAAAAGGTAGAATGAGCACGCAGTGAAGAGAGGTTCAAATGCTGTGCAAGGAAATCCAGCACAGAGGACCTCTCTCTCCCAGCGGGAGGCTTGGCTGCAGGCCCGTGAGCTGATCTGGGCACACGCGTGTACGTGCCGCCACGTGATGGGTTTTGCCTTATCACCCCCCCCATTTTTTTCTTACAGATGAATAAACACACTGTTAACAGGCTCCTTTTTTCACTTAATATATCCTATCAAGTCCTTATCTTTTTAAATGAGCTCTTCAGTGGTCACCAGGCAAAACAAAACAGCATTGCAGACGCTATTCTAAACATTCCCCGCCTTCATTTCGTACATGATTTACCTTCTCCGTGTCTCATGCAATGGCTTGAATTCCTTAAGTGGAGTTACTTGGCCAAATGAACGTTCCGGTGGGACTGCTCCACTGTCCGCATGTGCCTGTGAGGTTTGGGCCCAGAGCTCCCTGCCCCCAGACCTTGTGTGCGCCTCCCTGGGGCCTGGTGTCCGCTGCCCCCCGTGAGGCCACGTGGCTGAGTCTTCTCTGAGAGAGTTCCAGAGGCAAGACAAAAGCAAGAGTCCAAAAAAGGACATTTCTTAGAAATGCAGTGAAAGCCCTGATTTTCATGATGCCAATTTACATATACGACTCAGATGTGCTGAATTTCCTACATGGCTTTGATTTGTACTAATTTCTCAGAAATGCTAGAGACCGGGACTTTAGCAAAACCCACTTCAAAGAAGGAAAAAACCCACTTCAAAGCGGCTTCTTCACAGTGAATTCCCAACCTTTTGTGGGAAGACCTATTTCCCATTAAAAAAATTTTCCCCTCAAAACTTTTTATTATGAAAACTTCAAACCTCAGAGAAAAGTTAAAAGAAAGGTGAAATGAATACCCCCGGGAGCTCCAGCGGGTTGACCGGTGTTTACATTGGTGTCTGTCATCCACACGCTCTCTCTGCCTGTACCTTCTGCGGACCTTAGAACACCCCTTCTAGATGCTTTGCAGCGTCTTCAAAGAAGATGGACCGTCTCTCACACAGACTGTCATTTTCACACCTAAGAAAATCAGTGATAACTTTAAGGGCATCATCTAATATCAAGTCTGTATTTAAGTTTCCCAATTGTCCTAAGAAGCTTTTGTGGCTGCTTCCTTTTTTCTTATTAAATTTATTTTTAATTTTATTTATTTTTGGCTGCGCTGGGTCTTCGTTGCTGCGCGCGGGCTTACTCTAGTTGCAGCGAGCGGGGGCTACACTTCGTTGCGGTGCGAGGGCTTCTCATTGCAGTGGCTTCTCGTTGCGGAGCACGGGTTCTAGGTGCGCGGGCTTCAGTAGTTGCAGCACGTGGGCTCAGTAGGTGTGGCTTGTGGGCTCTCGAGCGCAGGCTCAGTAGTTGTGGCGCACGGGCTTAGTTGCTCCGCGGCATGTGGGATCTTCCCGGACCAGGGCTCGAACCCGTGTTCCCCGCATTGGCAGGCGGATTCTTAACCACTGCGCCCCCAGGGCAGCCCGTGGCTGCTTCCTTTGATTCAGGATCCAGCGAGGGGCATCGGTTTGTCTCTAGCCATGTTTCTTCTAGAATCGTCCCCTCGCTTTTGCTTTTTCCTTTTCTTCTCTCTTCTTTTCCTGTCTTCTCTTGGTTTGACATGGACGCGGCCTGTCGTGTGGAGTGTCCTACGGCCCCTTCTCTGCTTGCTTTCTCCCTGTGTGGTTTAACACCGTGCTCGTCCTCTGTGAGTCCTGAAAGCTGAATGGTGGCTCTGACGGCTCCCCTGGATCACACACTTTGGGGAGAAGAGCCCTAGGTGATGGGTGTCCTTCCTGTTGCATCTCATCAAGTGGAGCCTGGTGTCAGCTCACCTCCCCGCCCCCCGCAGTGACACTGACAGGACCGCCTGTTACGGTGGTGACACCAGGTATCCCCACGTATAGGCCCCGGCGTCCCCCCAACCAGTCACTGGAGGCTGATGCTTTGGTATCTTGTGCGTCCTGGTTCCCAGCCGCCTCGGTAGATGGCTTCAGCTTTCACTGAGGGTCGTGGCTTTCCAAACCTGCCACTCCTCCTGCGTGTCCCAGCCTGCGTTCTCTATGAAGGAGAACTTCCTTTTTGTTTCCCTTTTTGAAAAAGAAAAATACAGAAAATAACCATGAATAATATAACAAAACCTGTATTTTCACCACCCGGAATCGCATGTTATGAGGTTGGCATATTCACCTTCAAGTTTTTCTTTTAAAAAGGAAAAGATGACAGGGAAAGCTCTGAAATCTCCTGCCCTAACCCTACCCCTCCCGTCGCCAGAAGGAACCACCATCATGAACACGGCTCTGTTCTCCCGGCTTATTTTTATACCTTCAGAAGAATGTGTTTATCTATGAACATACAGTACATAGCACTGTTTTGCATGTTATTTTTAAATTTTTCGTATAAATAGTACTCTGGTGTGTATCATCATACGTCTTCCTGTTTTCACCCAGCGTTGTTGTGATCAACTCGCGTTAGCGCGCACACGGCTAGTGCATTCCTGGTGTGGTGCTGCTGTGGTCCTGGTGTGTTCCGGTGTGTTCTGGTGTGTTCTTTTTCACCACTGTCTGGAACCCCACACCCACTCCCATCCCTCCTCAAGTGAGGAACATGTAGGTTGTTTCCGATTCCTTGGTGGTGTGAGCAACGCCATCCTGGGCAGACGTGCAGCCTCTTTGCGCAAACACACGAGCGTCTCTCCTGGGCGGATGTTGTCCAGCAGGACCTCTGACCTGCAGGGTCCGCATGCCCCGACTTCAGTGGCTGTCACCAAACTGGCCACACTCCTACTCGCTCCCAGTGGCCAGGGGTGACCTTCCTCGTCCCTTCTCGACTTTATCTGCACAGGACAGGGTCAGGCTGTTTCATTAAGATTTTTTGGCAACCTCACAGGTGAGAAGTGTATCTTGCTGCTTTAATTTCCTCATTGCTGGCAAGGCTGTGCACACGTGCTTATTGGCCATTGGGAGAAGGCCTGCGGTCACTCAGGGGGAAGGAAGAGGCCCGGGGAGTGCACCTGGGCCCCCAAGGCCAGCGGAGATACTGCATTAGCGACTGTCAGGTGGGCATCGTGGAGGGAGTGTGATTATTCTCAGTTCCTAAGGCTCCCGTATTTCTATTAATAGAAACGCTTGCCGCCCATGCCTGGCTCACCGTGCACCAGGCACTGTACTTAATCAGATCTCATTTAATTCTCTCGGGAATGCATTTAATATTATTCCTATTTTGCTGAAGGGGACACGGGGGGGTCCGCGAGGTGCACTGACCTGCCTGGGGTCACAGAGCTGGTAAGGGCACCGTCTCCAGTCCCAAACCCTTCCCTCCGCGCCGCGGCCCCTCCCACCCGTGGGGAAGTTCCCAGAGGGGATGAACAATGGCTTCTCACAGAAAGAAGAGTCAGGCTCAGGTTTTGCTGCCCCTCCCTTTGGCTGTGAGCAAAGAACTTGTTTGTTAACTAAAATGTGCAACCTTGTAAATAGTTCCCAGCCCTCGGGCCCAGAAGACAGAGAAGGCGGGAGAGTGCTTCTCTCCAGGCAGCTCAGGAGGGAGAGGTGGGTTGGTGATCTCTTAATTTCTTGCAGTGTTCGGATCGTTTGTAGCCTGGGTAGGTGCGGGGCGGAGCTGCGAGGCTCCAGACTCAACAGCTGGTTGTATCTTAGGTTTGAGAGCAAGAGGAAGCTCTCTCCCCCTCCCTCCCGCCTCCCCCCAGCCCTGTGTCACACACACGTGATGTTGGGGGAGATGCTTCCAGGCCCCCCCCAGCATCGGGGCTCTAGGAGAGTGGCCGTCTGAGGCAGGCTCAGGTGCAGCCGGCCCAGGTTACAGGTGGGAAGGGAGGATCTGGGCTGCTTCTCCTCAGAGCCCAGCTGTGCACTCAGCACCACGGCACACGCGTTGGTCGAGTGAATAAATGAATGGACGAGAAGGTTGGAAGTTAAAAGCAAACACACTCTCAAGCTTTTGGCCCTTTGGGTTCTGCGGGGTGGAGGGAGAGGGGTAGGATCAACGAGGCGAGGCCTTCGTGAGAAGATGGCGCTGGGCCCCGCGGGAGGTGGCGGTGACTCAGCGAGCACGCGTCGCGGTCCACGAGCTGGCAGACGTCCTGTGCCGGGAGGAGCGCAGACGTGGGGACGGGACTGGACGAGGCGCCGCCCGGCTGGCCCCCCCGCCTCCCTGCTGCCCTTCCAGCCCACCCCCACCCCACCCGTGCGCTTCCTGCCGGGAACACTCAGCACCTTCTCGGGGGGCCTGTCCCCGCCTCCCAGCCAGACCCCCGCCACCAGGGACCGGGTGTGCTTCCCTCTGAACTGGCCACACGCTTCCTCCCTGGAAGGCCAGGGCTTCGTCTTGACCGCTCCACGGTCCGTTATGAGAAATCGACTGTGTATTGAAAGAACCTATTGAAGAAAGTGGGCTTTACTGGGATCAGTGGCTGGCAAGGCTGGATGGCAGGTCCCCCGGAAAGGCCTGGGGTCCCACCGGAGTCCCCAGAGCACACGATGAGAGCCCTTGTTAGAGAGCCTGGGGGCTTGGGTCCTCTCTCCCCCGTTCCCCCCTACAGGGACTCCCCCTCCGAGCCTCGGTTTTCTCCTCCATGAAGTGGAGTCACTGGTGGCACCTGCCTCTGGGGCCGAGCTGGGGGCTGATGGAGATGATGTAGAGGGACACTCTGCACGGGGCCCGCCCTGCCGTGACCTGGAGCCTGTCAAGGACCGAGTGGAGAATTGTTCTTAGCTAAAGTAGCCGGAGGGCTTTTCGCGGCCAGAAAAGCTGTACTCGGCCCAAGTCTTCATCCAGAGGTGGGGGGATGGGGGGAGGGTCACGTCAGGCTGGTTCTACACCCTGCGGCGGGTTTTCCAGAAAGTTCCAGACACCTCCAGCGATGGATATCCCTTGTCTGAGCGCCCCCACCGCCCCAAGCAGCTGCGTGTCTGCCCTGAGTTCCCTGGTCACCACCCAGGCCCCACCACGGCCATGCCGGGCATGTGCTGTGAGGTGCCGGGGAGCCAGGATCCCTTTCCCGTGACCCGTGCGACCCCGTGGACGGCAGGATGGGGCGGCCGAGGTGCAGGCGTCTTCTGGTGCTGGGGGTGACTGGAGTGCGGGGCGCGCCGGTCCCCAGTGTCCTGCTCCCCGGCACCCAGGCTGATGGTTTCCAGCCCCTCCGGCCGTGTCACCTCTCCCCAGGCTCGCTTTGCCTGACCACGGACTTCGCACAGAGGCGCTCACAGGGCGTCTGTGCCGGTGCTCTGGGCCCCTCGCTCCACCTGCGTCGCGTGTGTCGGTAGGTCACCCACTGCGTTCCCGGGTGGGCTGTGTCCTCAGGCTGATGGACACTTGGGAAGTTCAGTTTGGGGTCTTTAAAAACAGCTGCCGTGAACGTTGTTCTACCAGAAGGTTTACCCGGGAGTGAAATCGCGAGCTCGGGGGAGGCCGAAGCCCTTGGCCCCGTCACCCAGCGAGGACAGCGTCAGACACACCGGCCAGGCCCTGCTTTGGGCCCACGCCTCCCTTCCCCTAGCCTCAGTTTCTTCATCTGTAGAGCGGGGCGGCGAGGATGGGGTGAGATGAAGGCCTCAACCTCTTCCCCAAGAGTAACCCCCGCCCCCTCCTCAGAGCCCACAGGAAGCACTCCGTGGCCCGGTGGCCTTGGGTGGTGGTGCGAGGGGCGGGTCTCACCCGTCCCAGCAGGGTAAGCCCTGGATCCTCTTTCCAGAAACAACACCTGTGGGGTCAGGATGGCTCTGATTCCACTCTGGGGGAAGGGGCTTCATGGGCCAGCCTCCGCACCACCATCTCCGCATGTGACGTGGAGTGCCGCTGGGCCCAAAGCAGAAGGGCACAGGGCCCTGCCCCCCGAGTCCCTGCCGCCCCGGCCCAGGGCCCCTCCCGGCTGCTGCTCCACACCACTCGCTGCCCGGGTTGGTGGGGGCTGGGGAGACCCTGCTGGGAACCACGCTGGGGATGACGAGCAGAGACGGCCACACCTGTGTCAGCACCACGCCACACCTGTCACCACCACGCCACACCTGTGTCACCACCACGCCCACACCTGTGTCACCACCACGCCACACCTGTGTCACCACCACGCTACACCTGAGTCACCACCACGCCCACACCTGTGTCACCACCACGCCACACCTGTGTCACCACCATGCCCACACCTGTCACAACCAT